CACCTCCCTGGACCTGCTTGTTGTGCATCTACAGGTGTGCATCACAAGGTGCAGTTAGCTTTACTGACCGCTTCTTCTCATTGGTGGCTCATGTCCATCCTGGAGTCACAACGACTCCAAGATCCCTTTCAGCCACCATATCGACAAGAAGCCTATAGGTGTTACTGGTTCCTTCTCCCTACATGCAGCACCCTGCACTTATCTGCGCTGAATTCCATTCTATTGTCATCCGCCCACCTCTGTAACCTGTCTAGATCTAGCTGGATTCTGTCCCTCCCCCGTCCAGTGTGCCCACTTCTCCCAACATCTGTGTGTCATCAGTGAATTTGGACAACGTGCTTTCCATGCCCACCTCTAAATCACTGATAAAAGTGCTGAATAGCACAGGCCAGAGGACCAAACCCTAGGGGACTCCACTGCCCACATCCCTCCAGGTCGAAAATGAACCATCCATCCCACTCTCTGGGTAAGACCATCGAGTCAAATTTGCCACCCATCTGACTGTGTAGGTATCAATTTCCAGGCAGTACCACAGGAAATCATGGCAGATGCGTTTTTTGCAGCTACCGTAGAAACTGCTGTTTTTCATGGTTTTTACGAAAACAGAGAGAGTGCGATTTAAGTATGTCCCAAGTTACAGTAGTTTCATGAGTCCTAGAATGGTAGCACAGATACCTTGTAGATACCCAGAAGGACATATACAGCTTTGAATCACACAGCAAAAGAAGTTATTGAAATTAAAGTTCTGCTAAGAATCTGCAAAAGTCTTATAACCTAACTTGGGTAACCACTGTTCTGCAGTGACACTGGGACACTGCTACAGAGTAGCTGCTTGCCAAATCTGTCTGCAAGCATGGAGCATGCAACAGAGATCAGATCTGGAATAAGTTAACATATATGCTGTTCATCAGCAACAGCTGCACAGATGTTAAACACAATGAATAAACGCTAGCACAATAACCCACATTAACTCTGCAGTGAAGACAGCCTGGAACACTGGAATTCTCATTCAAAGATGTAGAGTCAAATTAACCATTATGTTTTAAATATAAATTACCAAGAGAATGCAGTCACACCAACCTGCATTTAGAAAAGTCTTTTATCACTTGAGTTATACTGGTATTGTCCAATATCCTGTAAAACCTCAAAATAGCCAGGGTTTGAGAGCCTTAGAGCAAAATACACCGAGTTCAGAAAACTATGGGTAGAAACCACAAAAACAGCAACTGCCCAAGAAATCAACATTAAAAGCAACTTAATAAAGGTAAAATGTCCTCACTGCTTGCAGCCCACCCAGGTGGGGCAGTACAAGAAGCAGCCAGCAACCAAGATGGCAGCTGTCCCCTTGTCCCACCTTTCCCCAGGGCCTCTCCACCAATCAGTAGCAAGGGGCACAGCTACCAGGAAATGGCCATGAGAAAAGAAATTGGCTATTTGTATGGTGACCAAGCCACAAAAATTCCTTTGTCTGGCCACAAATTAAGTAGGTCCCTAACTATGGGAGGTTAGCCAAGAGAATAGCTTTGTTCCCTTGCAGCCAACAGAACCTCTACATACAACAGCTTTGTAGTCTAGCTTGTCATAACTACCATTCTAATGTACACCAGAACCTAGATACTTTGCAGATTTAGGTTTCTACATCCCTGTGAAAGAGATGAGTGTTTATCAATTAGCCACGTTGGAAGTTGCTCTGATGCAAACGATCTGGCTTCAACTATACAAGTGGCTGGTCAGAGAGTTAAACTAAAAACTGCAGGCTTTCAGTATGATTGATACTAGTCAAATATATAGATCTCACCTAATCTACAGGCACATCATTTGTCATCTTACTTAGAGTTCTCTATCTGCTGAAAAGAGGAAGTAACCACTTAGTTATATTGCTAATAGTTCTTAGATCTTGAATATAGACCTATCTGAATGCAGAGTTAACAAGTCTATAGTAGGTATCAATTCTTATCCTAGTTCTTCCTCTTCTTATTAAAGTCTAGTTTTAAGAACTTACCTATCAAAAACAACTGTTTAAATCTAGTGTATGCAGTTTGGATATCTTGCAGAGATGGAAGGCTGCTTGAAAGGTCATCCATTTTCAAGACTTCATAAGGAGGTGCATGAATTGTCTTATAGATTCTGAATAAATCAAATGATAAAGAGAATTAAGCCTTCTAGCTTGGAGAAAAAAACATGGACAATTATCACTGAAAGTAACAAGGTTCATTACCCATCTCATATATAAGTACACATCAGGTATTCTAGAATACAAGACATCCATCATATGAATGGGCTTGTCTAAAATTTAAAAAAGTTTTGTTGCCCTAACTATATAGGTATGGTAAAAACAGTCCTTGTGTAGATGTACTGTACTGGCATAAAAATCCTTTACAGGCAGTTTTGCAAAACACGTGGAACTTCTAAGCTATGAATACTGCATCTTTATGAGCATGTTCACTCTATGTTACATCAAGTTAATGAATTCATGTCAAAATATGCACCCAGAGGGTGGTGGATATTTCCATCTCCTGGCAAACACTTCAAGTACCAAAAGACAATGCAGAGCTAACTGTTTTAGAGTCTGCTTGACTCCCTGATGTTTGATTATTCTTTTGTGTCCTTTCAGCCTAAACTACATTTGCTGATGTTAAAAGACACTCCTGAAGGGAAAGAAAAGGATTTGAACTGAGATGAACCTAAACACCAAAAGTTGTCTGGAGTTAGTAAGTAGTACTCATGCACATAGACCTTATTTTGGTGAAAAAAAACCTCACTTGTTGTGCTGTGCTTTACAGTTAAGTTAACCAATAATTTTTTTAAGCCATTTTTCAATCACACTTCAAAGGGAAGATTTGCAGGCATTTAGCTGTCAAGTTTTATTAGTATTCTGTAGCCAGGGGACATGACCTAAGAGGAGCAAAGCCACATGAATTGGGAACAGACTTCCCAAGGAGGTGGTGCAGTCCCCAACCTTGGAAGCCTTCAAGAGAAGACTGGACAGACACCTTGCTGGAATCATTTGATCTCAACAGTATTCCTGCCCAGAGCAAGGGGGTTGAACTTGATGATCTTTCAAGGTCCCTTCCAGCCCTTAATTTCTATGATTCTATGACTAGTCCAGAAAAAGGCAAAACTGAAGCCTAATGAGAAGTATGCTCAGACCAGAAGAGACAGAGGGTCAAAAAGACCTATGACACATTTGTTTCACTTCTTGAACAAGAACAAACTACACTACTTTTCATCATAAAGCTGTCTCCATAAGGGCTTTACCAGCGTATTGATGTTGATGAGATGTTGCATCATTTATTGGCATAATTATGCCAGTAAAAAGAGTTTAATTGTAGATACCAAATCTATACTAATTAACAAACTTAAGATTATGTTAACATATACAATGTTAAATGTTATTTTGTCTTTATATAGACAAAAACAGTCGCGCATGTTTAAAAAAAAAAAAATAGTTGGTAGTGGTTAACCACTAGGTAAAACCTAAGAGTACAGACAAGATCAAATGACTTTTGTGATGGTTGAAATATATGCCCCACTGTTGCAACTGATACCTTGTTGCAGATACCTGCTATTTTGTGGAACACAAATAGTGTCTTAAAAATGTGTAATTAATTATCAAGGTTTAGGTAATATTCTGGGCATATCTACATATGCAATTAGCACACAAATCAACCTGACACTTATTGCTTTGGAGTTTTTTGCTCCTGGACATGCTGTTTGAAACCCAGAAGCCATCAGCTCTGGAGAGGATTCATGTGCAGCACATGAAGCCTGGTTGGAGCAGCCCTGGCCAGCAGAGGGCTCCAGACGATCAGCCTGCCAACCTGAGACTGCTCCAACCAGGCTCAGTGTGCTGCAGAGGGGCTGGCTGAGGCATGAGGTTACTTCAGTATGGGGCTGCCTACTGGCTAGCCCAGTACATTTACATGTGCGCTGCTACACACAGGGAAAACCAAACTCTGCAGCAGGGTAGTACTAGTAAGTACTACCCGCAGAGTTTATTAGTCTCCTACACTCTAATAAGGGTGCATGTGTAGAAGCCAAGTCATTTACTGCAGAGCTAATTAGTCAGCTCTGCAGTAAAAGTCTCATGTAAATACACTCTCCCACTCCTAAGAAATTTAGGAGTGTGGGGGAATACAGGGAAGTTTTCTCTGTTCCTAAATTAGTGATCTTGCAGGTCTTTTTAGGCCGACTACAAACACCCTTTTGTTTATCTTTCCACCTATATGAACCAAGCTACCATTCAGAAATGTGGTTCAAAGGATCTTTTTTTCCTTTCAGATGCAGTGGGAAAAAATAACCTTAGGGCCATGAATCTACTGCCAAAAGGAAAGCTGGGCTCATAAAACTCATTTCCCACCCAAGTTTTCCTTTCCTGGCCCAATATCATTTAATTTTAAAACAAACAAACAAACCAACCAACCAACCAACCTTCCTTCCCTTCCCCCATTGACTGGAGTTTTTGCTTTTTAACTTAATTTTTGCACGAACTAGTGAATGAGGGCAGCTGCCTCTGCTACTTTAGCTCATTGGGATTAGAAAATACTGGTTTCTTAGAAACCAGCTGCTAGTAGTTCTCAGCTGGTTAAATAATAACCTTGATTGGGAATCCTTGAACAGCTGACATGGACTTTTATTAAAAATTAAAAAATAAATAAAAAGGAGAGCAGTATGAGAAAATTTACTTGCCTGGAAAAGAATGAAACTTGACTGGAGAAACTAAGTAGAGGTGTAAGCTAGTTACAACTACAGCCTGTAACTTTAAGCTTAGGGAAACCCTCTTTCCCCACCTATCCCCAGTTTGCATAAGCTTACTCTGATGAGGACTCATACCTATGGGAGAAAGTGCCTTGCTGTGATGGAACCAAAAAGGCTTGATTGGCTAATGCTTTGGCTCCACCCACCAGAAAATTCAAAACAATGTGGAAAGCTGTGTAAACAAGGATAGCATAACTTCTCTCCTAAGCAAAACGATACAAAACAGAAGAGCTATTACCGACCCATCCATGAGTTTGGGCATTTGTAAAGTGCTGTCATCCTGTTCTTTGGGAAATGCAGACATTTTGAGAAGGGCAGCACCATTATGGCAAGACCAACACCAAATCTGCAGAAGAAATGTGTAATAAATGATACTTGATTAGTTGTTTTGTACAGATACTTGTGCAAAATGACTAAACATTAAACTATATGAAACATCTCCCTACCCTATGTTATATACAAATTTTGATCTATTTAATAAGCAGGGATCCTGGATTTCCAATAAAAAAAACCCCCTACAAATTCCAATAAAAATCCCAAAGTCCATGATTAAAATGAAAGGACCCCACAGCCCCGCTGGTGCCCCTCACTCCCCCTTCACAGGCCCTACTCATGCCCCTCACTCCCCACCAGTCCTGCTGGAGGGCTCCCCAGCTGCCAAGACTACGGGGCCAGGGCCCCAGGTCTGCAGACCTCTGCCCCTGGCTGATGGTGGCGGCTGCTGCAGCAGAGTGGAGCCTGGCTCCCCACCTGCTAGCAGCTTGGGTGGAGGTGGGGCTGGTTCCCTGTTGCAGTGTACACTCCTAGAAAGGCGTAGGGGGGACCCATGCCTGCCAGATCTGTGCACACCGCAGGCTTGGGCTCCTGCCCAGGACCTCCACAGCCAATGGGTACCACTGCAGGGCACAGTGGCGCCACGCAGGGTTTTCCTTACCACTGCAGGCTCTGTGCTGCCCTGGCAATGCGTTCCCTGCATACATGGCAGCAGCAGGGGCAGTGGTATGGGGGTGTGCCTCGCACTGCTGCTGCATACCCAGGGGACATGTCACCAGGGCAGTATGGAGCTCACAGTGGCAAACAGCTTCCCCATGCAGCACCACCTTTCCCTGCAGCACCGGGTTGCACCCACCAGGCTGTGGAGGCTGGGGGGGGGGGGGGGGGGGGGGGGCAGCAGCAGCAGAAGGGCAGGAGTTTGAGCCCACAGTGCACACAGTGAATACCCATCTGCTCTCCCAGAACTGCATGCATCAGCAGGGAGCTGGCCCCACCCCTCTCCCAGACAAGCCACGCCCAGTCCCACCCCACTCCTCACCAGGGCCCTACAGCTGCACGTTACAGCCCTGGGCCCCAAGCCCTACTGCCCACTCAGCTGAGCAGCAGCCCCAGTCTCAGCCCTACTCAACTCCCTCCCTATGGGGGGCTCAACCCCTCCCCACCACATTACCTGTGGGAGCTACTCTCGAGGTTGCCTGGCCGCCTCCTGCCTGACTGCCCTCCTTCCAATCCCTCCCAGCCCCCTGCTGGCTGGAACTCTGCCAGCCTGCAGAGAGCTCTTTGCAAAACTGCAAAATCCACAGGTTTCTCTGCTAAAGTGAGAAATCCAGTTTTTGTCCAGTAAAGGAGAACATTTGCATTTTACTCTGTTTTCCCTCAGAACCCTGATAAGGAGTCACTCAATACTGTAGCAATCTTAAAGTTTAGAACCAAAGCAGGTGCTTCACATAAAAGCACTTAACAGTATTACCCTGAAAAGTCCAGTTTAATCCTTAGAGTTATTAATAATAAATTTGCACTTACTTTGTCTAACAAGGTATGGTTAAAGACCTCTCCCCAACCCCATAAGGTTTGCCTAAACAGTCCTTGGAAATGGATCAAAATAGCCCCTGTTACTTCTTCTTCAGGAAGATAACTTCCTGGGTGGAATGGAGGGGGGTAGAAAATGCCCACACAAAATATCAGTTCCAGAATAGCTAAATTCACAACAGCTATTTAGCCCTTTGACTACAGCATTTTATTTACTCCGTCTCATCCTAAAGACAGTTCACCAACAGCTCCTGGGAACACAACACTACACTCTTAATAACAAAAAAAAAACTTGGCATGCAGGATTAAGTTGTATTTTTCAACCTTCAAGCAAGATAGCTTAAGGAGAAAACAACAAAAGGCAACATGAAACAAAAAGCATCTATGCTTAGCAAGGAAGTCATTGCAAGATTGGGACTGTCCAACTGGAGGCCCACAGGTCACATGCAGCCTACAAGGCTAGGGACAGACAATACACATAAACCAGTGTAAGTGATCAGAAACTGGGTTAAACCTGTAACAGAACAGATGTTTAGCACACATAAACCAGTTTGAAAATGGCTGAAACTGGTTTGAGATAAACCTGGTTGAATATAGTGTATCAGACTTAACTGATCTGGGTCAAACCAGTTTATGCAATGTCTGTCCCAGACCCCTTGCTGGTTCAAGTTAAACCAGACTCCCCCAACATCCTGGCATGCTCTCTGGGCTGGGTGTGGCTCTCTGCTCCACAGCAGGGCTGGTCACTCCCCTTTGCTCCCTGGCTGGAGCTCAGCAGAGACTGCAGGCCTCTGCCCGGCTTGCCCCTGCTCTCCCCTTCCCCTCTACCTTACACAGACACCTCTTAGCATTAGTTAGCAGACCACAGTCTACAGTCTGTGCTGTGGTAGAAGGGACAAAGGAAGAATCAACATGTAGCTGGTGATGCCCCTCAGTTGTTTTCTTAATGGGGTGATAAACACTTATCAATTCCTTGCTGGGCAAGTCAGAAGGTGAGGGGGAGGAACCCCTCCCTAATCAGAGCATCCTACCAGAGCCTGGCCACACACCCCAGCTCAGCACTATGGAAGGGAAGGGAGGGCTGCTCTAGAGCCCCCAGGCTCCTAGCCTGAGCCACTGCAAGCATGTTCCTGCATTTCTGGGATGTCTGTACAGTTACAAAATGATTCAGCCTAGCCAGGTTAGACTAACCTGCAAAGATTGAATCAAGTCAGGCTCAGGCTTTTTTGAATGTCTGTCCCTAGCCCAAGGGTTCATATGCAGCCCTACCCGAATGCCGCACCTCCTATTGCTTTGGCTGCTGCTGCGGGAAGGTTCTCATTTGCTTCCTGCTTCCACCCCAGTGGGGGGAGGAGGAAGGCAGTGCAGCTTGCAGCACTGGGAAAGCCCGTGGCACAGTCCAGGGAGGAAGCCACAGTGCAGGCTACCCACATGCACAGTACAACAGCTGACTCATGTGCAAGCAGTGCAGAGGACGGGCACGGGAAGGGGGTAGCCCACAGGCCCATGGCTTACACAAACAAGGCTCCTGCTAGCACAGTTCACTGGGTGTGCAACCCCTGGCTACTTAGAAGTTGGAGAGCCATGGCACAGATGGGCAACAGCTGGACTTATTATCTGGACTTTTGGCATATTCACACAGGCATGCTTTGCAACAATGGCTGCTTACCTTGGACCTGGAAGTCAAGTTCTGCATCTCTCTCTCATCAGGAACATCAGATTATATATAAAACATATTATAACTCAATTATTCCTTTGCAACCATATCAGCCTCCCATCATTATGGAGGGTAACCAAGTTATAATATGACCTACAGTATAATTGCTGATATAGGAAGAGAAAAGAACTCACACTGGCCTCTACATGCTAGAAGGTTTGTCCCCCAAACTGCCAGATCTACAGTTTTATAAAGCAAGTTTGAGATCAGTGCTACCATTTTATAAAAATCCAGAAGCCATACTTTAGAAGCATGGTGAAACTAACTATGTTTGTATCAAGACAATCAAAGATTTCACGTTACCTTGTCACTGCCATTTTATCTAGGAAAATTATGAATTTAGCTTTCAAATAGGTGCAGCTAGGAATTAATTTAAGGACTTTAAAAATGCGTTACTGGGACTTCCACTAACATGACAATCCTAGCAACATAACTGAGAGGGAGCAACTGGGGCAGCAGTCCCAGGTGCAAAAATGAACAGTTGTTGCATTAGTAGCTACTGCCACCAGCACCACCGCAGCCAGAACTGCCCTGTGTGCAGGAACTGCCCAGGGTGTGGAGCTGCCCAGAAGCCATGGTTAGCTAAACTCCAGTTCCTGTATAATAAATGCTGTAGGTCTATCCTTTCAAATACTTGACTACGAGAGCACTGAATCACTCTGAATGTCACCAACTAGAGCCAGAAAAGAGAACAAAGCAACTAGTGTCTTCCACCACCCAGACTGAATCTAGTTTAAGAACATAGACGTAAGGGACTTTTGCTTCATAGGTGAAGACAGCAGGGGCTGTGCACACTCAGCAACTGAAAGATGAACAGATTACTGTTTTGTTGCATTTGCCTACTTCTGCTCTATAATGTTTAGAAGAGAGGAACTATATCATGTCCTTTTTGCTGCTGTTTCTCCTTTTACTGAGTTTGTTACAGAAAGGACTTGAGTGTGCTAATCTTATGTATTAGACACTCTGCCTAGACTATTCACAGAAATTTTCCAACTGATAAGTTAAAGTTCTCTCACTCTTCAGCAACGTTTATATACTCACAGGAA